CATACACATATATGTTACCCCCTTGACAACTAGCAGCATTTAAGATTGCTTTTCCATTTCAGAATGATGGAGCCTTACTTTGTTTCATCCCTAGGCAACACATTCTTCAATGGCATCTCCTGGTACACACAGTGATACTCTAGAGGTCTATGCAATTTGCACAAGTTTCCCGCTCTCCATCGCCCTGGGTCATCACCTCCTCCTTTGTTTTAGAATCACTGTACTCAAAACCATGAAGGAAATTCTTACTGAATCAATTGCTCATCCTAGTTGATCACAAATATCTAAATTACTACACTTTAAAAATTAGTCCATTGAGAATAACACCTTAAAAAGATCTACGACAAAGCTAAATTATGCCCCTGAAGTTTCTTGTCTTCATACAGTCCTGAATAAGCGCTAAGATTATCTTAATTGTCTTATGTCGCAGGACTCCCAATTTGCAATTAGGTTACGGTATAAAAATTCATTCTATGTTGATGGTTTACATCTTCAAATTCCTTCTCTTTAATAACAGTATTGTATATATTGATAATTTCTTTGAGCTTTGACCAAAACATTTTTTAACCATGCAAAGAGATTTTATCGTAATATTTTTTTCTGGAAAATTGTTTAGCAAAATCTTAATCTTACAATAAAGTTGATTATTAAATTTTACAAGCACCATGGACTCTCACTTCAGGGTACCTGTCAACCATCCTGCCACTAAGGGGAAGGGCCATTCTTTCTAATTATATCATATAGAGGCTTTCCTCTTTTAAAAAGTAACACTATTGCCTGTTAGTGCAATTAAGAGAAAGGAGAAACCTCTATAAACTGACTGCACCCTAAAGGAGAGAATATAAAGGAATTCAAGGGCCCCTTAGTTTGTGTCCAGGAAAACTTCAGATCTCAGTTAAGATGTCTGTCCAGCAGGGATGATAAAGAAGCGTTCTTTTTTCTCCTAAATAAAATGTTGGATGTAGGTCCTGACCTATAAATGCTTTCTGTGAAGAATGTTTCCAAGAAAAATGGATCACAAAGTGCAAGTGTGCCCTCCTGTCAGCTTTTAGTACAGCTTTGGTGAGCAGAATTGTAATGACTATGATTACCTCTAGTCAGCACTGGACCAGCCTACTTTCACAAACAGGTACCCCAAATCAACCACTCTCTACATTTACGAGCAACTCATTCTTCAGTTAGCGATTGTATACATGCAACGACTTGTTTAAGGCCTTGGACAAGTGGAAGGCAGCAGAGATTTGCAAGGTATTGAGGAAAAATCGAACCAAGTTCTAGCCAAGTAGTGGCCAGTCCTCCAGGGCATGGAATGGTCAGAATGTTGCTCAGGATCTTTGAGTTCCACTATGAAGTTCTCATCACACAGAGATCTTGAAAGGAGATTATAAATATCTTTGCAAACTCCTTGGTAAGAGAGGAAGATTTGCTCAGCCGCAGCTCACATAGAGAGGGTGTGGACTGCCTAAGAGAGGGCAGTGAGCCACGGGTGGAAAAGAGGACAGGATCAGTAATACCTGAACTCTGGGCTTTAGCTACAAACCCAGAGACCATCTCACTGGGGCAGTGTCTATGGAAATTCCTTCTCCAAGTCAGAGATGTGCTGTGGGGAAAGAGAAGAGTGGGCAGGAAGGACAGTAACATTTTTCTGCAACTTCTTGGCTCCATTTGTATTTGTCAATCATGTAGACAAATGACTTTTTAAACCTTTTTCCATGCAGGAGTGGACTGTTATCTCAGAGTCACAGAAAATAGAATCCTATCCTGCAAAGCTTCTACTGGTTAAAAAACCAAGTGTCAATGGACAAAATATCTATCAGCGAAATCTCCCGCCCCCACCCCATTCTCCCACCAGTGTGAAAGGTAACAAGGGTGTGTGGGGCAACTGAAGGAGGACATGAAATCATGCGGGTTCACCAGGAAAAGAGAAAGTGTTGGTGGCAGCAGAGTTGGTGAGTGTGTCGTGGGCATTACCTCTTGATGAGGCTTCCAAGAAGGCTCCCGCTCAAGTCCTGGTGGCTCTGAGAACAAGCATTCTTGCATCAATAGCTAATAGGCTGTCCAACCAGATGTTATCTGGGTGGGATAAGAGGGTGAGAAAACAGACCTGTTGTACGCTGTTGTCAACTACATTACTGCGGTCAGAGAAGGCTGGTTGTGTGTTGTCTAGCAGGGCACCTCGTTCATGGTGAGGCAGACCAGATTACGTGGCTGTTTAAATCCATTTCCTCTTGTGATTGATAAAATATGAGAGTTATAATCATTCATGCATTACTAAAGCCTCCTTTCCATCATTTTGAAGGGACTTTTTTTTTTTTTTGCTAGAACAGAGCATGCATCCAGCAGAAACCTAAAGCGTTTGCTTTTCTAAGCAATCTTTTGCAATAAGCACACTTTTAAAAACATCAAAAGCCATATATAGTACCTGTGACAAGACTGGAGATGATAAGTGGTAAGACCAACATCTGTAACATCCTCATCAAAAGTTCCCCAGGAAAGGAAAAATACTTGACTTCCCGGTAGCTCATTCTGTATGGTCGGAGGGTAAAACCAAGAATTGTACCTAAAAGTGGGGGAAGTCAGAAGAAAGAAAAATTGAGTTCTCAAAAACCAAAGCAACAGTCCTAGAAAAATGAGCAAATATTTTGTTAGTGGTTACTCATATTTGACAAGAGCAAATTTATTCAATCAGCAAATATTTGTATAGCTTTGAGAGCATAAAGTGCATTTGTCTTTGTGGTCACGATCTGGAAGGGTCTGGATGGATTTAAGGCTTCAAGTAGAACTGACAGAAAAATGAGCCAGTGGAAAATCTCCTTTGTCTGACTTGAATGCAGTGGAACCCATTTTGATAGGGCTCCATACAGAGTTGCAGAGATTAGGGCACAATTAGGAACAAATCGTGAGCTCAGGAACAAAGTGCTATGTGGGAAAAAGTGCTCCCTTACAATATCAGATGTAAAGGAAAATGTGATTTTATTTTTTTCAGCCATCCCCACCCTATGCTCACATTGTTAATGTCCTTTGTTCACATGGTCTTGGCATTGCCTTGACAACTATTATTAACTAACTATTGTTAGTTGCTGGCAAGAGAAGACTCTGAAATGAAAATTTGGGACAAAATAGGTGAAAGAGAAAGCAGCTTATTCTTAAGTTTTCTGTCTGCTCCTGGAACTTCAAAACATATTTTAAGAATGATAACTATATATGTAAACTAAATTATGCCTAAAAACTGTTGATCCATTCAGAAATTAATGAAGACATTGAGTATATTTGCTCCTTCTCTTTCTTTAATTTACTTTCCTTGACCAAGAAAATTTCTTATTCCAATATTATAAGTGTTTTCAAAAATTTGTTGCTATGATTTGAGTCTAGATGTCCCCTCAAAGCCTCATGCGGTCATAGGTAGGGCTTTTTCAGAGGAGCTGAATCTAGAGTGTGTGATGCTGGGATTAAGGGTTTGTGATTATTAAATGAGTCCATTGATTAGTTTGGCAACACACTAAGCCCAGAAGCCAAGATAGAGTATAAAGGGGGCAGAAAAAGCTGCTAAGATCTCTTGCTTGCTTTGCTACCTTCTGCCCATCATGAACTATTTCTCCTCTGCAATGTCTGTCCACCATACCACCCTGCCTTGGAGCCAGCTGATTGTGAACTATAACGTCTACAGACAGAGCTAAATAAACCTTTTCTCCTTTAACTTTGTGTGTTAGGCATTTTGTCTCAGCAATGAAAGAAAAGCAGCTAAGACATTTGTAACACTACTAAAACATTTGACTTCACTAAAGAAAAAGTCTGTGTAAGTTATAGAGGAAAGAAAATGCCAAGTACTAAGTTGAACAGAAGCTAGAAATTGCAGGTGGAGGATAGGGAAGAGGAAAGAAAGGTAGGAAATCGCAAGTTTTTCCAAAGGATGCAAGCAGTCCTTTATAGAAACTGAACTTTCCTAACTTCTTATGAAATAAGGATTTTTCTCTTATGAAATGGGACACAAAGTTCATTTCAGTCAGTATTGCAACTTCAATTTTAATTCTTGGGTTTTAGCAACTATGAAGTATCCATTCTCCAGCTATGGACTGTGATTTCTAATAAGTACTTGAATGTATATGAATAGAAAATCCAGCTGACTTAAATTCACAGGGCCTTCAGGAAATACTTGCTGTTTTTTTTCCCAATGTAATAGAGAAAAAAAAGCTGATTTGGAAAATATAAGAGAGGCGGCAAAGCCTGCCTGTATTGGTTCTGCCACTTAAACAAAAAGGAAAGTAGTTAATGCTTACTGAGCTCTTACTATATGCTAGGCATTATTGTCATTGCTTTCTCTGTTACTAATTTAACCCTCACAACAACTCAAGGAGACAAGGACTATTTTATCATCAGTTAACTCATGGAGAAACCTAGTCCCTGTGACCTGAAAACTTGAGTGGCAGAGCTGGGATTTAAACCCAGGCAGTTTCCACTCAGATTCCACGCTTAACCACCTTTCATGCTCCCTGCCTCTCCTGCACAGGAAAGACAACCGCTGTTAGTGCTTCAGTGCCTTTCTTTATGGAATGCTCTATAGTTACATAAAACAATATCTGCATACTTTTTAAAGGTGATTTCTTCAAGAGTTATATTTCCCTGCCTCTCGCAAGCTTGGTAAACCTTTAGTTCATTTTTTTTTCTTTCTTTGCTTGCTTTATTTTAAAATACTTAAACTTTAATCTTCTCGGAACTCAATTTGTGGTAAGAGGTTTAATTCTTAATTTTCAATGTACATTATTCAGCACAACTGCATCCACAATAACACATAAGAATTAATAAAAACCTTTAGTCATGCATGGTTCTTTTCATATGGAAGCCAAGCCACACAGAGATAAGTGCTGCATCTTGTAATCCAAAAAAATAAATATTTTACTTAATTTAAATCAAATATAATTTTACTGGAATTGGTTCTGTGCTTTCTGATCCTTATTTAAATGTATTAAAACATTTGTCATTTTATGACAACAAAGAATGTACACAATTAACACAAGAAACTCATTTTGATCATCTGGAATTTGAACATAGGAAGCTATTAGCAATTTCTAATATTGCTCAAATGATAATTTAAGACCAGCTTTGGTTTTACAAATTCATACCTGAATTGGCTGTTATTACAAATGCATTTATTTGCATACAGCAGTATTCCCAAGGGCAGGATCTGGTTAGACAGGGAGGCTATGTCCTTTGAATTGTGATATTTTTTGTGTGTCTCCTCAGTCAAGAAATTGGCCTCAGCTGCTCTAGGGTCTGTCTCAGCTTCTTTACAGAATCCACATTCTCTAAAAGTGCTTCTTTTTGGGGGGATAGCAGAGAGGAAACATCACTTTTGCCTGAGAGGCATTAAGAGGCTTATTAGGCATAATTTAAAAGCACACATTCAAAGAAAATGGAATGTGGGTGCTCTAGAGATAGGGACAGTATGGGCTGGAGCTGGGTATATTTTATGTCATTTGAGGGGTGCTCTATCTAATCTTAAGTAGGTGATCTAGAACATGAACTGCAGAAGCATTCTAAAAAGTGTGTTTGTCTTCTCCCCTCAAATTCTACTATCCACCAAACTTACAGATCTCCAAGACCTATTTGGGCAGCAGAAATGCACAGCACTCTCTATGCCAAACTGCCATTACGTATACAAGCCTCATATGTATGTGCTTATAACTCTGGCGTGCAGAGACCTAGAACAGGAGGGAATACACTTTTGCTCCATTTATGAAGTGGACTTCATTGGTACACTCTCCTACTTGCCGCTTCTTTCTCTGAGGAGTAACTGCACGTTCTTTCCTCCCCTCCATTGACTTAAACTGGTCTGTTTGGTTTACCCATCAAGCAGGCTACCTTAAGCAAACCATTTATAACATCAGTTATTTATAAGGCACGGTGCTAGGTCAAATATTTGAAGAGTAAAGTTGTGTAGTGACAACAGACTATAGATACATTTTGAATCATTTTGTCTCTGACTATGCTTTCCTGGGCTTACTACCTCTACCTACCTTTACGTTTGCCAAGTAAGTCATTTATGCTCTTGGGAAAGAGATTATGTTGGAAAAAGGGAGTATTTATTGAGCTCTTACTCTGTGCTAATGGTGGTATTTAACCCTTATCAGAAGTTTATGAAGTCAATTTTATCATGTCTAGATTAAAGATGAGTGAATTGGTTAGTTAACTTGCTCAAGCTTACAAAGTTAAGAATCTGCTGATTGAAACAAAATGCAGTGCACTTTCTACTAGTGTTTTAATGCCTCTCAAACACTAACACATCCTTGTAGGCTGGGCTTGAGCGTAGTTTTCCGAGGACCTGGGCCCCTAGATCTTCAGCATCTTTAACTTCCACGACGTTCATGCTCTTGAATAATAAATAATCTTGGATTTCCTAGAGATGTCCCACAGGCACACAGCACATTGGGGACTACTTTACAGGTCTTATTTGTTGTGGAGCTACACCAAATGCCTTTTAAATAAAATGGAATAACTGAACTAAGTTTATATAAAGCTTACTAACCCAAATAGCCTGCCTTTCCTTGATCAAACATATTTTAACCATTGGAAACCATCAGTAATAGAGGTGAAAAGGAAACACATGAAAACATATTTCAAAGCCCTCCCCACCTTTTGTGTGGTCATGATTATTAGACCCAGGGCCTTCATACCAAGCTGCATCCCTAACCCTTTTTAGTTTAAATTTTGAGATAGAATCTTACTAGGTTGCTAAGTTGCCTAAGGTGGTCTCAAACTTATGATTCTCCTGCTTCAGCCTCCCTGAGTGCTGGGATTATATGTGTGCATCACTATGATTGGTATACACACACACACACACACACACACACACATTTGGTACCGGGAATTGAACTCAGGGCCTTGTGTTTGCCAGGCAGGCGCTGTGCAGCTGAGCTACATCCCTGGCTCCAAGATCCACTTTCTCAATAGCAAGTTAATCATCATCAGGCACATGGCAGGTGCCAAGACCTCACTAGCACTTCGCTTCATAAATACCATTGAGGCCAGGACTATTATTATCCCTATCTCACAGACAAAGAGCCAGTGCCCTCGAGAGGGTAGGTACATTGCCAAGAGCACATAGCTGGTACAGTAGAGCCACGGAAGGCTTGGGGGAGGCCAAGCTGCTTGTCCGCTGCCACTGTGAGCAGCTGAAATGGACTCCAGCCCCGGAGCTGGGACTTCTCACCCCATACTGTACTCATGACCTCTCAGTAGTCATGCTGCTAAGTTCAGGAGCCTAAGTTAGCACACGGTATTTTGCTTACTTTCTTATTCTATTTTTGAGTTATGTTAATTAAATCTATTTTTTGTTTTGTTTTGAGACAGAGACTCACTATGTAGCACAGGCTAGCCTTGAATTTTCAGCAATCCTCTTGCCTCAGCCTCCTGAGTGCTGGGATTACAGGCGTGCGCCACCATGCCTGACAGAATAACTAAATTTAGACCTAACAAGAGGTTTTGTTAACTTTATTTGATGAAGCCAACATATAGCTTTTTCCAACTGATTTGTTGGGTGAATAAACAACAGACATTTCTTTC